GACAAAGAACATATCTTACACTTCGGGATACATTATGTTAATTTAAGACAAAGACGAGAACAATAACTTCTGTTGATTTATAAAACAAATTAATTCAGCTGTCTCAGAGCTCTTTACATTCAGTAAAAATTTTAAAAATTGATTTCATTATTTAGCTGTTCATAATTGATTCCAAATTTAAAAGTTAATTTATTTTAATAACTCACTTCATACAGTTAAATACCTCCCCCAGCATAAAATAATATAAATTAATTATAGAAAATACAAACAGTATATTTTAAAGTGACATGTAATTTTATTTCTAGTAATAATCACAGTTGGCACTATGAGATAGTTTCTTCTAATGTATTATATATTATAGAACGATTTTAAAACCTAAATTAAATGAATAACATGAATCCTAAGTATTGTTCTTTGCTTATACATGTTCCTTGAAAATATTTTTAATTTCTCTATAATTTTCTTTATTGGGCTTTACCTTGAAAATGTCATTGTAAAGGATGGTTTTTATAAATTCTAAGTCATGCGATCTTTGCAGTTCAGTAACTTGATTTTTTGATGTGCATGTTTTCTGAGATATTTATAAATAGATCCTTTTCTGTTTAAGGCTTTTTTGTTGTTGTTGTCTTTTCTGGGTTTCTCAACACTGTGCCTATGCTGAAGTAGTGGTTTAGTTGTTGTCTTTTCAATAGGTTGTAAACTTCAGAGATCAGAGCTTATCTTTTGTCTTTGCATCTGCACTGTTTATCACAATATTAGTAACATAGCAGGAAAATATTTGTTGAATACTTATTCCAGAAAGTATTATGACTGATTTTCATGCAACAGTTTTAGATTTTTCATATGCTTTATTTTTAGTTTCACCTCACACATATGACACACATGAGAGAGTACAGGAGTCTAAATTTACTGATCAGTATGGGAGTTTTGACCGGCTCTGTTTCTGACTTGGGCCCGTTCATCCCTCCTTAGGCAGCCTGGTGGTCCCCTGCTCCTGGGAGGTCACCATATTGATGCCGAACTTAGTGCGGCCACCTGATTACACAGAGCCATGTAGCTCAGAACTCCTGGACTCAAGTGATCCTCCCAACTCAGCCTCTGGAGTAGCTGGGACTATAGGTGTGTGCCACCACACCTGGCTAAATTTAACCAGAAATGATTTTCTTTAAATTTATCTTCATACCTGTTAGGTCATTTCATAATGAGAGGGCACAAAATGTAGTTGCAGGTTAAAGAAGATACAGCAAAACTTCTTTATAGTCAGGATCATTGTAGCTCTTTTTTCTGTTCTCCACTGCTGTCTTCCTTTTTCCTATTCTACCATATTTAGGATCAGAAACATGGTTTGAAATAGAGCCTTCAAAAATTCAATTATTGGGCTAGGGATTTAGCTCAATGGCACTGGCTCCTGCCTTGCAAGTACAAGGTCCTGAGTTCAATCGCTGGTTACCCCCCTCCCAGATTCAATTATTATATATACCTTCAAATTCAATTATTATTTTTTGTTTGTTTTAGGGGTTGAATAAGTATTACATCTTTATTTTTAAATATATATATTTTAAATTCAAGGTTTCTTTCTCAAGCTCACTGAAAGGCTTTCAGTTTTTCAATGAAATATTAAATTTCATAGGAAGCATAACTGTGCATGCATTTTTTGTTTGTATACAGTATATTTATATATAAACATTATAAATACTATGTGTATTATATACAAAAGCTACCTGGTTACAATTTTGAGGAGATGGGCAGAAAATGGTAAATATGGAGTCATTGAATTTTCTCTGAATCCTGAGCTTTATTAGGTTTATTCTTGACTTTTTTTCATAGAAAGTTTTATAAGTATAGGTTCTTTGGAAGCTGGAAAGACTGCAGCTTGTTCAGTTGCTGTGTCCTTGTCTCTTGGCAGAATACAAGTAAATATTTAATGTTTCTTTTATAGTTTAGCATGAATACTTAAAATACTAATTGTAGTTAGCCTATTGTATGGTTATTGATATCCTTCTGCAGAAGATAACTTATTTTAGAATACTGTCTCATTTTGCTGCTCATAATGTAAATCTGAGCTAATGTTTTTAGTAGAGACATTTTAAATTAGTATAATTTGTTAGAGTCATAAAATGTTTAGCCATCTTTGGGGGCATTCCAAGGTCATTTATGTTCTATTTAACTTATTTATATTCTTGGAATATTAGGCTTACAGGTTAAGAGACTACTCTTTTTTTTGGTAGTACTGAGGATTGAAACCAGGGACCTTTGCAGTGAGCTATATCCCAGCCCTTATCTCTTTATCTCATCTGAGAGAGTCTCACTAAATCACCAAACTGCACAGACTGGTCTTGAACTTGCAGTCCTTCTGCCTCAGCCTCCAGAGTTCTAGGATTACAGGTGTGCACCACCAAGCCTATTTCACCTTTTCTGGGCTAAAACTTTTCCCTTTTCTGAAGTAGTAAGATGCATTAAAGGATGGAAATGTGCAGAGGGGAGAGATTCTCACTCCCATTATTGTTAATGCTTCTCTAGTGTTTCAAGTCAGGAAGTATGGTAATTGCTTGCCACTTTCCTTATTATCTAGTAGTTTTCAACCAAGGCTACACGTTAGAATGACCTGTGCAATTTTAAACTTTGCACACCAGGCCAATTTTAAAGCTTTCAGGGAGCTTTTAAGGTACAGCCATTATAAAGATACCTACAAAGTACTGATAAGTGGCACAGAGAGTGTATTATATAGCTGCTGGCTTAGTAATTATAATTAACCAGTTGGGAATTCCTGGATGAAATTTGAGATTCTTTCAAATATTCATTGGTCTTTAATATTGTGCCAGATTTTTTTAGTTGATAGAAATACAATGATGAATAAAATGAAGTTGATAAAGTAGGACCGTGTAGGAGCAGAGATAAAAAAAATAGTAAATAATTACAAGGCAAACAAAGTTAAAGTAGAGTTGTGACTAGGGTAACTTTTGGGAACACATAGTGAAGTGAGAACAGTTACTTCTGCCTGAGGCTTGGGATATGGGATCGAGTGAACTGTGGGGTAAGATGAAATGAGAAGTTGTCAAGATTTCATAGAGAAAGTGATAAATTAAGAGTTTATCAGGTAGGATATGAGGTATTTGTACATTATACAGCTGTTAAGGTAGATCATAATCCAGTGGTGAAGTGGCTTATAAATCTCGTTGAAGAACATAAATATTGTCTTGCATGCCAGGAGACCACAGGAACAAATACACATAGAGTCTAGATAGATCTTTTCAGAGTGAAACTAGTCATGTTTTAAGAAGACATTTAAGTAGGAAACATTTTTAAAGTTTAAATTAAAACTAGAATTAAATGGAATGTTTTTGGTCAGATACACTTGTAAGATTCAATTTGTAAGGGTCAGTTGGTAGTACCTTCAGGACAAGAATCCACTATAGGATTACAAATAAGGAAAAGCTAAAAGATACATGTTTTAGTTACTTTCTTGTTGCTCAGGCAGATTTCTCAACACCCACAATTTAAATGAGGAAAGATTTATTTTGTCTCATAGTTTGTAAAGGTTTCAGTTCATAGTCACCTGTCTCCAAGACAGGGTGGCATGGCAGAGGAGACATAGCTAATCATAATGGCAGTGGAAAGCAGAGAGAGGAATCAAGGGAGGAGGGAAGGAGATAGACCCTCCCAGGCTGTGCCCCCAGTGACCTATTTCCTCCAACCAGGATTTACCTTCCAAATCAGTTAGCTATAAACTCATCAGTGGACTAACCCACTGGTGAGTAGTACCACAACCCTATTATCCAAAAGCTCCAACTATGAGCACATCAGGCTTTGAGAAGACATCTGCATAAATCATAACAATGTGATAATATTTCTGTAAAAGTAGTGTAGAAATAGAATTTATGAGTTGAGATTGGAGGCAAGAGTGTAAGTAAAGAGGTTACTATAACAGTTCACATAGTATTCAGCAAACCATTGGTGCTTTCCAGTTTTAGTATAAGTGCTTCTAAAGAAAGCACCGCTATTGATAATTTCAAACAAGGAAGCTTACACTTGTTGGCTACTAGTTCCTCTGTTAAGCTGCCATCATTTCTTAGTTCCATCTATCACATTGCCATACTGCTCCCCATCCTCACTATTATTATCTTATTCTACTTTTCTGTATGTTGGCAAAAATTTTTGTTTTTCATTTTCAAGTTGTTCGTTTCTCCTTTGATTCTACAGATTCTTGATTAACACTCTGATGTTTCATAGAAAAATGTCATCTTTTTACCTGTAATTAATACCTCTGCATCTGACCACTGTTCTCAATATCTCACTCCAGGATAGCACACCAAGCAGTCCAATAGTTTTATTTTACAATTATGTTTTCAAAGCCTTACTCTTGGTAGGAATTTGACTTAGTCTTGAACGAAGAAATAACCATTTTTCTATTGAATTTATATAGTCAAGTAGTTTTCAGTATTAGTGTCTCCCTCTTAAGCTTATAAAATAGAGGTAATAGTGAATACTTTCCCCATTTTTTGGTGCTGTGTTGTGTTTATGGAGATCATTGAAATGAGTATTAAAATATTTTGAAAACCGTAACTATTGCTCATTAAATACAGAGATGTAAAAGTATTGTAACCCATTGATTTAAATTATTTTGAAATTGCTCTTTTTATGCTTATTTTCTCAAAATTAAAGGGAATAATGTGTTAGAAGCATGGTACTAATTTTTGAAGAATATATATGTGGGCTTTTCTTTTAAAAATAGTAATCAAATGTAAATATTCTATTTTACTTGGTTTGTCTCAATGAATTAACTTGCTAAAATTCTTTTAGAAGAACATGTGGGTGAAATGAGAGTCATTTAGATTACATCTATATTCAAAATATATATATTTGAATCATAGAGCTTTATTGTAAAAGTAACTATTCTGTGAGATCTTGAGCAGATGACACTTTTGCCTTTTTAAAATACTAAAGCTAAACTTTGGTTTACTATAACAAATAGTATTTAATTTCTTTTTCCTTTTTGACAGGCAACCAGATAAACTGGTGGTAGTTTGGACAAGAAGAAGCCGAAGGAAGTCTTCTAAGGTTAGTCCATTTTCTAAATTTCTTACGAAAATGTTGAATTCAACTTTTATTTAAATTATTGAGGGGTGGGGGTTTAGCTCAGTGGGCCACTGCCTGACTTGCAAGAAGAGCAGGGTCCTGAACTTGATCCCCCCCACCAATAT